TCGACAGCGAGTTCGCCTAGAAGTTCTCGAGCCCTTAGTCACTCGGCGGCCATCACCGAGGGCGCGGTGTACTCCGCCTCCATCGTGGACAGCGATACACCGCCCTGCTTCTTGCAGGTCCAGCTGACAGGCGTCCCATCCACAGTAACGAGTCCTCCGGTCACGGACTTCCTGTCCTGCTTGTCGGCCGCGAAGTCCGCGTCACTGTACGCGACGACTTCCAGCGGCTCCTCCGAACTTCTGTCTCCTTTCATCTGCAGACGCAGGTCCTTCGTTCCCGACAAGTACCTGACTATGCGCTTTGTAAGCCTCCAGTCTGCCATCGTCGGGCTGTGTGTCCGGCGTGACGCCTTGTGCACAGCGAACGCAATGTCGGGCCGCGTGCAACGCGCCACCCACATCAAACTTCCGACCAAAGACTGAAACTTCGCAACAGTCACCACGCTCCCGTTTCCTGACAACGGTAAGGTCTCGGCCGCATCCAACGGCATGTCATTCCACCCCAAGCCAATGGGCGTGCGCACCGGACGCGCCGCCTCCATCTGGTACTCATTCAGGATGTCAGTGATCGCAACCTCCTGATCTAGATCGTATCGCTCTCGTCATCATACGTGACGCGCGTCCCCAAGAACTTGCTCACCACTCCCAGGTCTTTCACAGACAGATCCGATAGCTCTCCAAAGAACGCATTCACCGCGTCTTGGTCCGTGCCGGTGACCAGCAGGTCGTCCACATAGACGCCTATGACGACCAGCACTCCTTGCTTCCGTCGATAGTAGACGCACATGTCCGTCAGGCTCTGTTCGAATTCCAAATCTACTAGCTTCTGGTGGAGCAGTTTGCTCCAGAGTCGCCCAGCCTGCTTTAGTCCATACAGCGCTTTCTTCAGCTCGAGGACCAGCTCGTCGTCACTCGTGGCGCTCAGCTGCTTCTTAATTTCTTCCGATATGACCATTCTCTGCGGCAGCCGAATGTAGATGTCCAGTCCCGGCTCCTTCTCCGCCTTGACGTAGGCGTTTGGTACATCCCCGTGTCTTGCTGGGACTCTCCACTTCCTGGCCAAGCACAGGATGAGCTTCACACTGCACATGTCGATCACCGCGGCAAAGGTGATTCCATAGTTCGCACCGAACTCCTGCTCATTCCCACAGGCCACGAGCCGCGCCTTCAGCCGCTCGATGAATCCTGCAGCATCTCTTTTCGTCTTGAAGACCCATTTTGTATGCAGTGCACGCGCCCCACTGGGTAGCCGCGTGACCTTCCACACTCCATTTTCCTCGAGTGCTTTGAGCTCCTCTTTCATGACTTTCATCCATTTCTCACGCCACTGGCTGCGCATTGCCTCTCGGTAGTTCCTCAGATCTACCTCCATCACATTGTTTACCACTCTGGTTTCTTGCTCCTCCTGCTGCACAGACTCGTCCGTGTTCTCCGCAGCCTTTCGTGCGACCGAACGTGTCTCGTGACGTTCTCGCTGCCAGGTTTCTTCTGCTTGGACCGCCTCTTTCCCTTTTTTACGCGTCAGCCTCCGGCCGACACGCTCTCAGTGGTGGTCGCCTCAGCGGCGCTCGCAGCTCCACCCGTGGACTCGTCCACAACAGCACTGTCATCATCCTGCAGGTACAGCCGCTGCACTTGCTCGTGCTGGGTCTTGTTAAGCGTCTCAATGTTCTTCACGTGTTGTGTTGTGACCACCACGCGGTCCTTTGGCAGGTAAACTCTGTATCCTTTCGTTTCTTCTCCAATGCCGACGATCATGCCGTGCTGAGCACGCTGCGAGAAGTTCTTGTTCCGCGGGTCTCTATACACAGTACACGGGGAGCCAAAAACGACGATCTCGCCTAGTGCCGGTGTCTGCTTCGTTAGTATCTTCAGCGGCGAAGCTCTGCCCGGGTTCGAGTTAGTCGACGACCTGTTCAGAATGTAGGCCGCGTACTGCACAGCATCTCCCCAAACGTTTAATGGCAGTCCACAGGCGAAGTTCATGCACCGTGCCATGTTCATTATGATCCGATGCATGCGCTCAGCCTTCCCGTTGCTGGCTTGATTTCTGGCCTCGCTCCGCTGACGCACTACGCCGGTCTTCTTGCAGAATAAGTCTACGTTTTGGTACTCTCCGCCCGAGTCCGTCCTCAGTACATGAATCCTGCAGTCGAAACGCTTCTCAAAGAACGTGAGGAAGAGTTCGAACTGCTTGGCGGCAGCATCTTTCGTTCGCGCCAGGAACACTCTGCAGTAATTGCTCTTATGATCGACATAGTTTATCATGTAGCGGTTATTGAGACGATCTCGCGGCGTCATCGGACCCTTCAAGTTCGAGCAGATTACTCCACCAACTCGATCGATCAGCGAGTGGTCCCCAGTATCTTTCTGCGACCGCCGGTTCTTCGTCTATTTTCCCATGCGCGCAGGTTAAGCAGTTTACGCGGCGGTGGTCCGTGATGACGATGCCCGAGCTCGGGTCCCGTGCAAGTTTCTCAACTGCGTCGTAGCTTAAGTGTCCAAACCTCTTGTGGAACTCCACCAACGCGTCCTTCTGCACGTCATCCGACACCATTTCGGCCTCAGCCTCAGCCTGATCAAGTGCGGCCATGATTACTCCCGATGGGGCTTCTCCTTTCCGCTCTAGGACGGCAGGCACGACTAGCACGCCATGCCGCAGATCCACGTCAAATGCTACTTGCTCTCCGTCTACACCAGCAACGACGCGTCGTCCGCCTGTGTATGTCAGCGTATACCCCTTCTTGTCAAGTTGGCCGTAGGAGATCAAGTTGTGCACAACGTTCTCGGCGTAATGCACGTCCATGAGCTTCACGATCTGCTCCGTCCCGCTCGCCATGACGCGCAGCGTGAGAGTCCCTTTCTTACTGATCTTGAGTGGGTTTCCGTCTGGCTGTACACACTCGTCCAAGTACTCCCCGACGTCATCCAGCCACGACGCATCGCTCACGAAGTGCCGACTGGAACCGCTGTCCAAGATCCACATCACGTCGGACTCATCCGACGTCTCTCCTACAGACAGCGTGAGGTCAGGCTTCCTGCCACCCCCTCGCGTCCGCTCAGGACATGCTGCGCGCAGATGTCCAGCTTTCCCGCACTCATGGCAGGCGCGTGTCTCCTTGCCGCGGCGCTCAGCCACGGCGCCCACGACTTCTTTGCCGAAATTCGTGTGTTTGGCAGGTTCTAATTCCCAGGCTTGCGCGAAGTGTGCCAACTCCTCAGCCTGCTGCAAGTAGTCCGCTCTTGTCCCATCTACCTTGGCCATTAGCACTGTACGCAAATCCGCGGACGCGTACTGCACGATGTTGCTCAACACGAGGTAGTCTGCCCCGCCACCGCATGCCTCTGATACGGCGACCAAGTACATATAGTGTTCGGGCCACGATCGCTTGCCTTCCTTCGGCGCAGTGAGCAACTTTATTGCTTGCGCGGGGGTGATGTTGGTCTTGAACGTCTCGAGCATCCTCTCCATGACGTATTGCAGTGTGGGCAGTTGTGTCCACCAGGCATCTACTTGCTTGTTATAGTACCTTTCTGCAGTCCCCGCTAAGTAATGCCCCAGCAGATCCACTTTCACATCTTCCGGCCACGCGAACCCACATGCCGACTGCGCCAGCGCAACTTGTCTCTCGAAGCGTCGACCCCACTCGAGGAATCCAGATCCGAGTCCCACGTACAACTCCTTGCCGTCGAATGGCCGAATCACTAGCTTCTTCTGTCGCGCGTCCGGGTAGCGGACTCCTTGGTTCTGCTGCTGGAAATGCTCGCCTCCAGCCTGTGCCCGACCATCTCGTGGTGGCGCTGGTGCTGGTGCTGCCGGCTGCGCTCCTTGCGCTGCGGCGTACAGGCGCTGCAACTCAGACATTGACATGCCGTAGCCAGGCTGCTGGTGTCCGAAGTACTGTGGTGCAGCAGCTGGCCTACGCGGCGTCACTGTGAGCGGCGTCTGTGGCGACCCACCTAACGAGTCGATATGCATTCTTATCCCGCGGCCGAGTCCAGACGCAAACAGACTGGAGTTCATGGGTGGTGTCGAAGGGCGATTCAGGCGCGCACGCCTTGCATCTTGATCGTCCAACTGCTTCTCAAGTTCTCCATGCGACTCTTTCAGCTTGGTCTGCGACTCCTCAAGCCGCTCCAGCTGGTCCGCTACGCCCCGCAAGAGCGTCATCAGCTCTGCGGCGGTTCCCCCGGTCGCCGGCGCATTAGCGTCGGCGTTGTTGCCGGTACCCCTTTCGTGGGCCACGGCGGTGCTCATCTCTTCTGTGTCGTCGGCCATGCCGGTCCTTTCGCGACTGGCAACAGGCACTGTCGGCGTCGGCGCTGGCGCGCCACCGCCGGTGACCTCATCTGTGGCTCTGGTCATTTGGGCTCAAGACCTGTAGAAGCCCTGTCCTCGGACGGGCTGCACTTCTGGCGTACTTGTGGTTAACTACGCAAAAGAGAGAGTGAGATTAGATTCCTTATCCCTACTAACCTATGTCTTGCCTTTCAGGTGATTACGCTGCTCGGCGCCTATCGTCCCCAGATCTCTGGTCCGGACCTCCCTACTTCAACAGAGAGAAAGAGGTTAATCTGTCATCACTGTGGCTGTCGCCTTCTTTATCCAGGCACCCTCGCCGCTAGCCGACCCCGCCTCCGCGTCTTCCATTTACACCCCTCTTTTGCGCTTTGAGATTATCGGTAGAGTTTACCAACAGGAATGCAATTAAAAAAATGACATGAATCTTGAGATGGTACTGTAACAAAGGCTACACGGAGGGGGGGGGTAAACTTACATTTGCTAACTGTAACGACTTTTCATAGCTCTACAAATTTAGATCGGATATGCGAGTCATCAACATGGCTCCATGATTCTACGCATACAGAATTAGAAAGCATTGGTTTCTAAATAAACAAGTCCAGACATTTTTTTTAAAACTTAGCCTAAAAATGTGAATGCGTCCCATTGGTAGAAATTATTTGAGTTCTTGCTGCCACGCGGTCAATTCTGAAAGAAATAGAGACTGACGATGGCGCTATCGACTCGGCTGCTGGCCGCATGCGGCGCGTTGCTGCTGCTGCTTTCGCTATCAGTGGATGCTGCTCTCAATGTCAACATGAAGTTGGCCTCGTCGCACGTGGCGCTGACGCCTGATGCGCTGGAGGTGGCTGTCTTGGTGACGCCCAAGCAGCCCAAACTGAAGCAGCTCTCGCTCGAGACGCTCGTGGACACCACGGGCACCGCTGTACTCTCCGGGCTGGTGCGTTACAATGGCATATGAGTTAGCTGATAATCTATTAGCTTAACTGGCTATTATACTGTTGTCATGGCGCAGACACTCAAGGGTGACGGTAGTAAGTTCGTGACTAAACTGACAGGCGACCAGAAGCTGCAGGCAGGCATGTACAAGCTCAAGGTGTCGGCGGTGGATGAGGAGACTAAGCAGAGCGCCTACGAGGTGCTGCAGCTTAAGGTGACGACGCCTGTGGAGGTGGCAAGCGCCTCGGCTAACGGTAAGAAGCTCAAGCTGGGAGACAAGCTCATGGGTCAGAACTTCAACGCCGCTGCGGAGGACACGCTCAAGTTGGAAGTGAAGCTGCAGCAGGTACACGACAAGTCGCCTATGGCTGCGCACCAGGCTTTCCTCCGTTTCACGCACCTGAGGGAAAAGACAGACACGTACTTTGTGCTGACAGCCGATACCCTCCTGACTCACAGCACGACGCTGCAGTTTGCGGCTCTAAGTAAGAAGTTTGGCTACATGTCGGGTGAGCACCACGTGGAGCTTATCCTGGGCGCCTCCACGTTCGAGAAGGCGATTGTATGGGACCTGGGCAACGTGGAGCTGCAGCTTGGCGCTGCACCGCCTGAGACGCCCTCACCGCTCTACAAGAAGCACTTGCTGTACGAGAGTGACACGACGCTCAAGGCTCTGCCCGAGATCCAGCACGTGATGCGCGAGCAGGACCCTCGACCGCCTGTAGCTGTGTCTCTGGCCTTCATGGGCGCCGTTCTGGCCCCTTTGGCGTTCTTCGTGCCGTATGTGGCGCGTCTGGGACTCAACTTGAAGCGCCTGTTCGAGGGCTCTGTGTTTGTCTTTGGCTGCGTGTTCCTAGCGTCACTGGGCGGTATTTTCGCTCTGTTCGGCTTGTACTGGCTGGAGCTGACCATGTTCCGCACGCTGGGCTTTCTCAGCATCTTGGGCTCTGTGAACCTCTGGTCCGGCCACTTGACGCTCAAGCGCCTTGCTGAAGCTCCTGCCAAGAAGACCACCAAGGTGGAGTAGACCAGACGACTCGATAAACGAAGGAGAAGGACGTCATTTGCCCATTAACCACAAGGCAAAAGATGTGCACGGATAAAATGAAGGGAAGTTTGTGTGCCTTGTACAGAGTTACTAATGAACTCTACGGTTTCCTTTTTCGCAGCGGTACTGCACCGGAATGCCATCGAGCTGGTGGCTCTTTAAAGTTTTGCGTGTTTGGAAATTTGCAGCGATCTTTTGCTGCAAATTTCGTCACATGAGTTCGCAAAAGTTCTCAATTAGTCTGGCTGGATGCTGCTCCGTACAAGTCCACGGTACCATACTTCTTCCACGTTCGATGGTCAGTGTCAAGGCTCAAATCGAACGCCGCATCGTTGACGCAAAGTGGCATTAGAACAAATGAGCGTCGCAATGGACAGGACAGCAAGAGATCTTTTGGCTTAACGAGGAAGGTCTCATCGTGAACCGATACGAACTATCAGCCACCAGGCTCCGGCCCCGAGTGCCCAGCGAGTTGCAGTGAAGTAGTCAGAACAGGGAGCTCGCCAATACGGGTCATCTCTCCTTGTTTGACGGCAAACATAGAATCACCATGATGTCGCCTCGCTTCGTCGACTTTCCGACTTCAACATCGCCACGTCGGTTTTCGAATCTACATACTCTGCGTAAATGCATCAGCTATCAATTTCATGCTCCTTAATTTTACTCACGTAGCATAAATCTATAAAAACGTACTCCTTTATATCCGATAGTGATACAGCGAAAAATAACGACGGCGCTTTGGATCTGACCATTTTTCTGTAGAATATCGAAATAACGTCCGCGGAACCGTCGGTTGCGGGTGTTCAGTACGCGGCTTGAGCCGCCTGTGCGAGGCAGCAGCGCGGAAAGGCGCCAGCACCGTCATTAACGTAAGTTACACGTCCATGAGCAGTCAGCACCAGACGGTGGTGGAGACTCCACGAGCGCCGCGACGGCGACGCGGAGATGCCAAATCTTCGCGCAAGAAGGTGACTCTGCGTCCGGGCGTTGTATTATTCGACCCAAAAGATCTGGTGACCAGCAGCGCAGTGGATTGGACGTCTGCGCTTACAGTGGAGCTGGTGGACGACAACCAGGAGGATGAACCGGAGGAAGTGGACGACAACCAGGAGGAGAATGTGGACGTGGATCCGGACTCGCCAGAGGCCAAGCAGGCCAGACTACGCACACTCGTCATCGACGAGATCTGCGAGACCGAGAAGAGCTACGTGAGTGACATTTGCTCACTCAACGACCACTATATCGTAGCATTAGAGGAAAAGTCGCACCGTATCATGGAGGACGCCCAGATCGCCGTCTTCTTTAACAACTTAAGACATCTCGTCATGCTCAACTCCAAGTTGCTGGACGATCTCCAAGAGATTAAACAGCGAGGAGCTCAACCGAAGGCGAAAAGACCCGTCGAAGCTGCTCTAAAAGGTTTGAACCGCACGAAAAGCTTTAAAAGTCCTGTATCAGTCGCCGTTCAAAGCGAAGCGGATGGAGTCGGTGCTATTTTCTGTCGCTACGCCCCACTATTCAAGCTCTACGGAGACTACGCGAAAGACTACGAGGAAGTCGCTGCTCTACTGCAGAATTTCCGACGTGACACTCGTCTGGGCTTCTCGCAATTCCTCGATTCCTGTCGGGAGAAAAGCGGCTCGACTAAACCGTTCGAGAGCTTGTTGATCATGCCGATCCAGCGCATTCCACGCTACAAACTGCTGCTAGAAAGACTGTGCGAGCTCACACCGCCAGACCATCCAGACGCCTCATTCCTTACCGAGGCGGTGAGTCGCGTACGCACCGTTGCCACTGCCATCAACGAGACGGTACGTCGTCAGGAGAACCTCGAGACTGTGCTACAAGCCCAGCAGAAGTTCTCTGGCCAGTTATCGCTGTTCACAGCAGACAGGAGACTGCTAAAGTCGGGAAAACTCATCAAAATGTCCACCAAACGACAAGAAGACGTCATGATTCACTTGTTTAACGACATTCTACTGTACAGCAACGTGCTGATCAATGGCGGCTACCGTGTACGACGCATAGTGCACTTGCAATCCAAGGCTGTGGGTGTCAAGACCGAGTTGCCAGCTCCTGTCCAAGCTCTATTTGATCAGCAGGTTAAACGTCGCAAGGACTGCGGATTCGTCGTCACCAGTCGCGAGAAAACCTTCATCCTGTTCACAGAGACTCCAGAGGCACAGCGAGAATGGGTCGACGCCATCTCCAGTGCTGTAAAAGAAGCTCAGAAGCAGAAGAAGGCGGGAACGGGAGACGAAGCGGATGGCGAGGGCAACAACATCGAGTCGTGTGAAGGTCCTGCCGACGCTGCAGCCTTGTGGGTTCCCGACGAGATGGCCGAGTCGTGTACCAATTGCAAGGCGTCATTCCGTGCTTATTATCGCCGAAAACACCACTGTCGTCGCTGTGGAGCGGTCGTCTGTGACACGTGCTCGTCCGGCCGTGCTCCGCTGTTTGTGGGCGAGTCTTCACGTGCTGAGCGGGTGTGCAAACCGTGCTTTAAGGTGCTGGATCTTGTGCGTCAAGTGGGAATGCACTGGTTGTCTCGCGTCGTGGAGTTTCGTGGAGTGCTGCGACGTCGACGCTTTAATAAGTGGACGGAGCATTATTACGAGCTTCGAGCTGGTGTTTTGAAGCAGTTTACGATGGAAACAGCCTCCGTGAATGGTGAGCAGAATGGGAATACGGCGGGGCTTACTAGTTCGGGAAGTAGTGGCAGCGCACTGGCGAATAGTACGACTCGATGCTGCACGGACGAGCTGAATCTTGCTGGCGCTATCGTCATCCATCGCTCGGACAGTCGAGCACACAAGAACCGCTTTTGCTTCCAGATCTCCACGACCGAGTACGACGAGACTGATCCTAAGAACAAAGCTGGAAGCAATGGAGCGAATGCGCTCAAAGCGAGTCCTATGCAGAGACGTCTGAGTCAGATCGCAGTGCGACACAACAGGAGCAAGCTGTCGCCGCTCAAACAAGCTGTCAGTCGCCTGAACGACGCTGTTTCTCGTCGTCGAGAGTCTGCGATTCCGGCCATGGTGGCAAGTGAAGTCGCGGTGTCGCTGGTCTCGCCACCTCCGCTTGTTCCTGCTCCGTCGTCGTCTCCAACGTCGTCGTCGGCTTCGAACGCAGCAGCCTTGCAGGAGACCGAGTGGATCTTGTGTGCTACAACCATTCAAGAAGAAGTGGCGTGGCGTGTAGCCATCCAGAGCTCGGCGGACAAGGCGTTGCATCGCATGCGACGCTCTCGCGTGACGGATTTTCCTGGTTCTTTGGCGCAAAGTGGAATCTTGAGTTTGAGCATGAGTCTGCCGCCGACCAACGTGCGCGCGTCGATGTCTGTGGTGACTACTGGATCGTTTATCGGCGCACCGGAACGTCGACGCCTGTCGTCTCTCGATCGTGGACGTGCTACAGACGCAGAGCTGTCGATGGAGATGGCCCAAGCCGCAGGAGATGACCGAGAGGTCTTTTTACTGGAACGTCGCCGTCGTCAGATACTGAAAGAGGTAATCCGATCGGAGGAGAGCTACGTGCAGTGTCTGGGCGAATGTATTCGACTATTTGTACAACCTTTGTTGCTACGACAACTAGAAGGACGTCAGATGTATCGTCGTCGACAGAATAAACGCAGAGGATCCATGCGTCCAGTACTGGGAGCTGGGCCCTTGAATCCTTCGGCTGGAACAGCAGTACCAAGTCGGATCCGACGTCGAGCAGGCAGCAGCGGCAATATCGGCCCAGGTACGCTAAAATGCTATTAAACTTAGCTTTAACTTGTACACTAACGACGTCGTGGGATGCTACAGCGGCGTCGAACGCAGCGTCAACTCAGACTCCAAAGATGCTAGTTATGGACGCTGATCTGTCCATCTTCTTCAGTAGTGTGGACCAGATCTACACGCTCAACCAGCAGCTATTGGACCATTTGTCGCGTCATCTTGAAGAGACCACGACCACGACGCAATCTGCGAGTAGTGAGACTGGTCAGCGGAAAGGCGAATCTTCGGAGTTCCCTGGCGTTCGAGTGCATCGCGCTGGTGCGATCTTCCACGCGTATGCGCCGTTGATGCAGCTGTACACGTCGTACGCTAGTCGACACAGTGGCGCGCTGACTGCGTTGGATTCGCCTCAGTTCGCTGGATTTCTAAGGGAATTACCGCCGGAAGCCGACGTAAACCGCCTACGACGGTATCTGAACATGCCGGTGGAGCGGATTCCACGCTACAAGCTGCTGCTCCAAGAGCTGCTGGGCTCTACGCCGCCCGAACACGTCGACTATGTGCCGCTGCAGTCAGCTATCAGTAGCGTGGACCGCGTCGCGCATAAGATCGAGGAGATTAGCGAGCGACGCGAGAATGCTCGCACGCTAGCGACTGTGAGTGCCAAAGTGGGGATCGACCTCACTGGCCGGCACTTTGTTCGCGACGGAATGCTACGTAAAGTGTGTCGTAGTAAGGTGCAGACGTACTACTTCGTGTTGCTGGAAGACGGTAAGAGAATCGACTGTAACGCTGTCTTTTACGCAGTTGTTGACCGGTTTGTTGTTCTGTAGCGATGGTGTATGGACGTCAAGGAGGGCTACACAAGAAGAAGTTCCGCTTGCTGGATCTGTGGGAGTGCAAAGTGGCGGAAGACACGGAGATAATGCCGGGAGTCATCACGACAGCCGTCAACTCGAACAAGTGAGTCCTGGAGCACTATCCTCTTCGCTATTGACTACTGACTTGTTGACAAATTGTCCAGTGCGTTCTGTTTCTATTCTCCGCTCAAGTCGTTCATCCTGTTGACTGAGTCTGAGCAAGAGAAACTCGCGTGGACGACTGATATTAGCGAGTGTATCGACCGCAATCTGCGCGGTAAGACACACCCGCGTCGCCCTAGTGTTCGCTCCGAGTTGTTGGCCGACAACGACGACGAATGTTCCAGTGGATACGAGCTGGAAGGCGGTTTTGTGATCAAGAATGGATGGCTGAACGTTTCTGGAGGAGCTGTGGTTTCTGTAAGTGGCAGCGCGAGTGCTAGTCCGACGACAAGCAGCAACGTCGGTAAGAAGCCTCGACGTCTGTGGATCACATTGACACTGCAAACGATTTCACTGGGCTCGACGTTTAAGACGCCGCAGCCGGAGGAGACGATCCCCATCGAGCTGTGCGAAGTGGCTCCTCTCAAGAGCGACAAGTGCTTTCGACTGCAGTTCCTACAGGATACGGTGAGTCCGATAGACAGCTTCAAGTTGCCGCCGCTTGAAGTTATGATCACTCATTCGTTACTGTCTCTTGCAGATGATGCGCACACAGACGACGTACGTGTTCGAGGCGCAGTCTCTAGCGGAGAGAGACGAATGGGTGCGTGCGTTGACGCATTGTATCTCCGGAGGTGACGAACTGGACTTGCGTCGTCGCAGCCTCAAGACGGCGACATTGGCACCGATCTTTATGTTTGACAAGGTCTCGAACGTCTGCACTATCTGTACACACAGCTTCGCGGTGTATCGGCCCCGTCACCACTGCAGGTACGGACTCACGCCCTGCTGACTTCCATTTGACACATGAGTCGTCTCCTCGCCGTGCCGTCGCTCACTTGTCTGTTGTTGCGGAACATTTGCTGTGTCTGGACAGATTATGTGGCTCGCTTGTCTGCGGCAATTGCTCGAGGCGGCGGTGGACGCTCTCGTACAGTTCGAGTAAGAAGGCGTCACGCGTCTGCGATAGCTGCGCCTTGTCGACTATGAGTATCACGCAGTCGTTCGCTGCGGACGAGTAAAAGCATAAACTACCTGCGAAAAGGTATAATATTGGCAGAACGTATGTTCAGAAAATGGCAAAGGTTGTAATCTAAATTCCCCGGACAATATAGCTGCCACCTGCACCACTTTATACCGAAAGGTCACGGAGACCGGATGTCCTCTCGGGGTGACAGCAGTGTTGTCTAATCACTCTTCTGCTGAATTGGAAGAGGCAACTCGTCAACTGATTCAGTTACTGAAGGCTATCCTACTGCGCGGTGTAGAACCTTTCACCGCCACAGGTTCGGCTCAAAGTGAGTCCCATCCCTGGTGTCCCATTTCAGCCCGCGGGCACTCCCTACATCTTCGTCCAGGTCGGTCGTCTGCAGCGGGAGGAATCAATCCAGCGACTGCAAATATCTGGCCACCAGATATTTGCAGACCCTCGATAAGCTGACCTATATTACGCAACAGCGGACCTGGTCCAGGCCACCGTCGCAAAATTTGCATTGTGCGCAGAGCCGCCGCAAGCTTCAACCTCGAAAGGAACAATCACAGCGACCGCGAAAATCGACCTTTTAGCACCAGTCTGGATTGCAGCAAGCGAGTAAGCGGCTCCGATGCCCCTGCTCGCCACGCAGTCCGCACTTGCGCCACCTGACGAGCGACATTCAATGCTCGTCCTGACGACTCAAAGACAACATTTGTGGCTGCTCCCGGCTCTGCACTTTATGTGTCGACCAGTTGCGACTTGCAATTTGAGCACCAATTGGCTGATATAAATACTCTTATGCTCGAGCATTGGTCAAAATCCTCTCGAAACGCCAACACTCGTTTTTTTAGAAGCCAGTCGCTTTTTTCAGTCCTAGTCGCCGGCGCCGTGTCATTCTCCATACTGCTCTCCTCTCCTACACGCTCTTGCGTTGGCTCTCGCGGCGGGAAGGACGTAAAGCTTATACCCTAGTGCCACATTCGCCAGTGTGTCCTAATAAGAGCACTCGACACCTTTAAGCTTATATCGCGCTACCTTCCCCACCTCGCCCCACTACGCCGCCGGTCGTAGTACCATCCCCCTCCCGCATGCCGCTGTTCTCCCGGTCCTCGGAGCGCAAGCCACGGAAGACGCACCGATTCTCGCTGCGCAAACACCACCGCCACTCGGACGCCGACGCGGACTCCGTCGCCAGTCTCAGCAGCAGCCACAGCAGCCACTCGGACAGGAAGCCGCGACGTCAGACACAACCAACTACACGCGAGGCGGAGCAGACGATCGTCGTGCCTCGCACCGCGTCCAACGCGCTCAACATCAAGGCCCCTCCGTCCGCTCTATCGTCCTCTGGTCGATCCTCAGCCTCCACACTGCGTAGTACCAGTCCTACACTGCACGAAAACTTGTCAGGCGGAGAGAACGACACCGAGATCTCGGAGGTCTCGGAGGAGTCCGACAACAGAGAATCGGTCAGTACGCCTCCTCAGAGTCGCGCCCCCAGTATGCGCAACAGTCGACACAGCCGACACAGTGCCAAATCGTCCCGCAATAACCGCAATAGCCTTGCCGAGTACCGTCAACTGCAATGCTCCATGTCATACAAGAACCGCGTCAACAGCGACGCGTATCGAGGTACCACAACTAGCTCCAGCGACTTAAGAATGAGTGATCGCATGAGTGACATGCGGACGTCACTCGTTGACGGCTTCCGCGCCACCAACTCGTCGGTACGTTCATCGGACGGCCACAGCCTGCTTAACGCACGGATTTCCGAATCGTCCACCACGATTACATCAACTGTTCCGGACACGCATACGCCAGTAGCTGCTACAGCCTCCGTTTCTATGCCTTCTCCACACTCTCGGACCTCCGAGATGTCCTTGATGTCTCCCGCTACCTCTCGCATGACTGAGGCCAATGTGGCTGCTCTCCAGACCCGTCGTGCCTTCCAGCAGATGGTTTTGGCGATGGAAGACGAGGATTCCGGCGACGAATACGACTCCGACAGCGACGTATGGAGGACCAGCAGTGCCGAGAGCTCGGCCGCCAGCTCCGGCGTCGTACGTCTCGGCGCTGACGAGTATAGAAAGTTTCAATATCGTCTTCGTCAGCTCGAAGAACTGACCGCTGAACAGTCTAGGAAACAGGCAGATATGGAGCAAACGATCGAACAGGAGGTACAGAACAGGACACAGAAGGTCATTGAGGCCATGGAGAAGCAGATCAGCATGTACAAACAGGCCAAAGAGCTCGAGTGCGAGCGTGAAGTGCAGCGACGAGTGTCGGAACACTTGGAGAACCCTCGATCCAGCCGTAGTGCTAGTCGAGGGAGTATGACACGCAGATCTTCAGCCTATGGTCTGCACACCAGCAGCAGTTCCAGCAGTTTCCGGGACAGCTACAACATTTCCAGCAGCATTAAAGAAGAGGGACATTCCTTCGAGAAACTGCTACATCCACGACGATCACGTAAACGTCTGGAGCAGATGAAGGAGCGCGAAGAAGCGCAGAAACGTGAGATGGAGCAATTCCGCGAGTTCATCCGCACTACCGAGATGCGTGTGACACAGACGCAAGGCATGGACGGCGTCATGTCGGCGACGCAACTGGAGAAAGCCAGGAACAAACTGGAGGACTTGAGTGACCCGCTTCTTCCCGAGTCGCTACTGCAGTCGCCGCCCTCTGAACTCATTGAGTTGATCTGTGTGCTGCGTCAGAACGGACGTGATCAGGAGAAGCAAATAGAGGAGGCTAAGAGCCTCGTGACCGCCGCGATCGAAGCGCGCGAAGATGCAGAGACCACGGCGCGTGAAGCTGTGGAGCTCACGCTCATGCTGGACGCGAGATTAGAGCGCAAGTACTCGACTGACGAGTACCGACAGTCGGGGGGAACTAGTGTGGGCACGCCGGCGTCGTCGTCGGCGATGGAGTAACTCGCAGTTTTGATGTTCGTGCGTCCTAAAGCGTCGGAGGCTCGTAAGAGAGCGACACTAGCAACCACGCCAGTGTACTATAATCCAATTCTCATATAAAAAAATGTTCCAGAGTAGTTGTCAGTATCATAGACACTCTCCGAAGCTTTGGCGATGAAAGCGGCCTGTTGCGCTCAAGTTTTAGACAAATTGTCGATTACCTGTTACACGTATTTACTACTCGAAATTTCAGCGCGCGCTTCTTTAATGCAATAGCACAAATCTGTTTTGGATATGTTAAATCTGCTTTACAGTAGTACGATCTTAAGTACACCATTTCCCGGCCAAGTTTAGTAATGCCGTAGCCTAAAATTAAAAATTGTGTGACTCCACACAGCCTTAAATTAGATCACACAAGAACGGGCCATTTGCACGATGGTTGGTAAAACTGGAAACTTGACCGGGAAATGGTGTACAATCTACATTACACTGCGCGACAGATCACATCGGACACCCACTTACAGTGCTCTAGCGCCGTCAATACGGCGAGTTAGGTCATACTATTTAGATATATGCGAGTTGTTGACAGTAGGAAAAGCCTAGTAGCGCTAACGAGCGCAGATTTGGCCGCTGAGGGGGACCTCCAATACAACTTTCCACTTTCAGCTCCACGACAGATCAGATCGGACAGTACAGACTATACAAAAATCAAGTATATTTTAAAGCTTAAAATTTGTGGCTGCAGCGCGTGTACCTGGTGGGTGGCTGCCATGAGCGTGGAGTGCATGGCTCATTCTAAAAGATGCCGAAGACCAAGAAGCCTCCATTAACCGAGCGAGAGAGGGGGAGGATTGACGGCCTCTTTGAGGCTGGAGCCTCCAAGCGCGCCATCGCGCGCAGCCTTGGCCGCAGCCCCGACACCATCTGCCGTGCACTGGCTCCCAAGCCTCCACCCAAGGCACGCAAGACCGCGAAGCCCCCCAAGCGAAGCGGAGCGCCCCCAGCACTGACGGACCGCGAGGTCAGGCGTCTTGTGCGCACTGCATCGCGTGGCGAGCACTCGGCGGCGCAGTTGAAAGCCGAGTTGGGCCTTGACGTGCACGTGAGGACCATCCAGCGCGTCCTCTTGAGGGTCGACTGGTTGGTCTACACGAAAATGGTTAACACGCTTCCGCTGAAGCCGGAAGACATGGCCGCACGCTTCACGTGGGCAACGGAGAAGCTGTTGCTGAAAGACGCCGGGTCCTATTGGGATTCCATTATCTTCTCTGATGAGAAGAAATGGAACCTCGATGGGCCCGACGGCTTTCAGCAATATTGGAGGGACTTACGCCGACCTCCCCGAAGGACCAAGAGAAGGCAAGCAGGGGGAGGATCGGTAATGGTTTGGGCTGCATTTAGTGGGCGGGGAAAGTCTCAGCTGGTAATTTTGAATGGGAAGCAAAACTCGGACGACTATGTGTACACGTTGTCCGAGTTTTTGCTTCCCTATGCACATGCCAACTACGGTCTAGACTATATCGTCCAACAAGATAATGCCAGCATCCACACCTCAGCCCGCACTAAGGACTTTTTTGCAGACCAGGAAGTCAAGGTGCTCGACTGGCCGTCTAAGTCACCCGACTTAAATCCTATTGAAAACCTATGGTCAATAATGAGCCGGCGCGTTTACAGGAACGGTAAGCAATTCGACAAGGTGTGTGGTCTGAAAGAAGCCCTATTCGAAGCTTGGAATTCCATCCCACTCGCTTTGCTGCAGTCACTGGTAGAGTCAATGCCGCGTCGCTGCTTAGCGGTAGTTGCCGAGAAAGGAGATAGAACGACTTACTAAGGAAATAAAAAAACTTGATTTTTGTATAGTCTGTACTGTCCGATCTGATCTGTCGTGGAGCTGAAAGTGGAAAGTTGTATTGGAGGTCCCCCTCAGCGGCCGAATCTGCGCTCGTTAGCGCTACTAGGCTTTTCCTACTGTCAACAACTCGCATATATCTAAATAGTATGACCTAACTCGCCGTATTGACGGCGCTAGAGCACTGTAAGTGGGTGTCCGATGTGATCTGTCGCGCAGTGTAGTGCCAGCATCGTATGTATTCAACAATTGATTCACTTACAAATTTACTGTTATTTTGGCCACTACACCGCTCACTCTAATTAGTCATGCCATGACTAATGATGATCAATTCTCCGACCCAACTTAATTTTAGTATTGGTTTTAATCACCAATCATTCATTTTCATTTATTAGACAACCAATCACTCGGTCTTGACAAAATGATTTGGCCAATCCAAATGGTAAGGGCTAGGCTGGGCCTCATCGGAGTTGGCTCCGACATATCGGGTCGGAGGTGACACGCAAAATATGGATATGCTAATACAATTTTCAAGATGTTGACATATCACATGCATAAAATGATTTCTCCGACTACTCCGACCGGTGTAATCATTTCAGTACACTAGACTCAATTTTCGCAGTCTACAGTTTGCTTACTGTTATACAAAATCTCGAGCACTAAAGACGTCGACAACTGGCAGGCGGTGCAGCTCTAGCGAACTCGCTTCGTCATTACAATACATGCAACAGCCTGTGGGCCGTTCTTAACCACTGCCATAAGTGCCATGCCATGGCATACTTGTCGCAGCGTCATGGCAGTGTGGCAGGTTTTCGTTAGGAACGCAACTGCCACCAATATAATTTTTTTCTTTTAACAAAATTTTACGATACAGAAAAACAAAACAAATCTTGCTGGCCAAAAGGAAACGAAGATGCCCGGCAACGGCAAGAGCGCGAAAAGGACCACAGGCGCGCAAAATGGTCGGCCCAAGCGCGTCAAGGTCATGCCAGCAAGCGGTACGCCACCTGTAGATGCTCTCAGGAAACCCTCCTCTGAGTTTGTTGGCGTTGTGTCCACTCCACTTGCATTTTGTGGGGTTGATGTTGCAGGTGGAGCTCGCTCTGTTGGTCGTGACTTTTGTGGGCCTCTTAGCGGTGGGGGAGGTAACGACCGCGATACTGGTGCAGTACTACGCATAGGCGAAGCTGGTAAAGGTTGGTGCGGTGTTGTAGTTGATGCTGCAGGCCATATTTCTGGTGAAGACCGTGCTGCTGGTGACGGAGATCATGTTGCTGGTACCGTTACTGGTCATGTCGCTGGCGTAGGCCTTTCGGTCACTCGTGCTACTGGTGGAGACCATGTTGTTGACCGCCATGCCAATGGCATCGACGGAGACCGTGTTGCTGACGAATGCTATGTTGCTTCTGGGAACTGCGTTGCTGAAGGTGGTTTTGCTGGTGGTGGATCCTTTGCTACTAGTAGAGACCGTGCTGCTAGTGAAGATAGTGCCAGTGGGTACTGCGCTCCTGGTGCGCGCAACGTGATCGATATAACGGACCGTGGCACCCAAATTAATGGTGGAAATGCCTGCTATGTTGCAGTCAGCGAACCCCGATCTAACTATCCACAACATAATTATACGGAGGATGGCGACCGCGCTGTTGTTCTTCTAAATGCCGAAGAACGTGGTGTACCAAAGCCTGGTAGTAACGATTCACAACCGGTGAGCCAAGGTGTCACCGCTGACCGTATTGGAATGCAAGTACGCAACTGGACCGTTAAAAATCCGGGAGCGGTCCCGACGCCGACATGTGAGGACTATGCGTCGTGGACGGTGGCTCAACTGCGGAAGGAGTGCAGCGAGAGAAATTTGCGAGTGTCCAGGAAGCTCGGTAAGCTTGCGCTCGTTGAACATTTGAAGAGGCACGATGCTACACGTAGAGCAGTTCAAGAAACTGTTGACGATGAAAACCTGTTGGATCCAAGCTTACGCAAAACAAAACACTGCTGCATTCGACTTCTCAATGTTCTTTTCTCGGACCGTTTTGCTACGCGTCTTGCTTCATCCGACGACGCAGCAACGAGAGACCAAATAGACACGGGTGAGGTAAACCAGAACACGTCCTTTTGGAAGGAAGTAGCCAAGGAGTTTCAAACCAACACAACGGATTACAATGGCCTCTTCACCTTCAATGACCCTCGCTACATCGGGATCGACCCTTCTGTCATCGTCCAGCATGATGCACCACGACTTTATGACATGTGGAAGAAAGTGAACACCAAATACATCAAAGCCTTCTCGAAGTTCGATGTATCCGGCCAAAATTCCAACGACTTTTACGAGTTCTGCGATGGAAGTTTGAATGCTGCGTATGTCAAGGTTTGCATCAAGCAGAAGCCAGAGTTGGAGTCGTATGTGAAAGGGGGCATGCACGAGGAAGATGAAATCGACTCGATGAACTTGAAGCGCTCGTCAAATGGCGATCGCTCTTCACGCAAGTCAGCTAAGTGGCAACACAACATTCTTACGACCTTTGATCGCATCGCTGAGGCTCTTATCGGAAATCAGAGCTCAACAGCGGCGTCGACTAAAGCCGTCACACCAAACACTGATGAGAAAGACATGCTACTTGGCCGGATTGCTAAACTTCACCAAGTGATCTCCCAAGTGAAGAATAGTTTACGTGCGTCTGTATCCAATGGAGAAACCGACGTGGCACTGACGAACAGCCTTGGGCTGTACACAAAACGACTACAGCAGTACGAATCCCGCCTGGCGGAGCTGGATTAGTTGTGAAGTCTGATGTGGGTGAACATCAGCTTTTTCTCTATCTTGCGGGAAATGAACATCTTGTGTATCACGAGGACGAACCAACAAGGTAATAGCAGTACCCATTTGATATTTAATGCATGCAAGTTGGATTCACTGCTCCTGTGTTTCTCTGCGTCGTCTGGCCTGATTTAACTGCGGGCGCAAAATGGTATCGCGTTCAAGAAGATCGACGACAGCACCTCTAATCCACTCCGAAAAATTATAGGTGTCGGTGTCGACAAGTAAGTCAGAGGAGTCGTACAGTTGACGATACCTTGAAGTATCTTGCGAAGCAACAGTAACATCTCTTGATGCATCGTTCGATTCCAGTGTTGCATCCAACGCCTCCGCTAAGTCCTCATCGTTATCTACTCGGTAGAATATATCTTCTTGAAGCCGCCGGTTGATACACCAATTGTGTAAGATGCACGCAGCCATTATAGTGCGAGGCACTCTGTTAAAGGCGATTTCCATCGGCGCATTGAAAACTCTCCACTTACTCACCAGTAGACCAAAGGCATCTCAATTCTAATTCGCAGTTGGCTCAAGTGAAAATTGTAGCTGTCATGGAACGTAGTTGATATTCTTGGTCGAGGAAACGGGGTCAAGAGTTGGTTGGTGCTGGTGTAAGCGTTATCTGCAACCACGTACAATCCGGCTGGAAACTTACTAACGACGCTAGATAGTCTCCACTTTAGAAACGCAACCGCATCTCCAGTTCCACCGGGACTAGAGCATGTCACGGCTGTAAACCGACTTAGATGGTCGCAACAGGCTTGCTCATTAACACCATAACGTCGATCATGCCCCGAAAAAAAGGAGCGAACTCTCGAAACTTCGTCCTTCTTCGGCACCCGTATGGGGCACAGCCAGCCGTCGATAGCTCCTACGCATCCTTTCATTACACGAGAGCTGCTAAGGTTTTCAAATTGCTTTGCAGCGTAACGTTGAGTAGCTATGGTTGAAGGGAACTGAAGCTGTAGATCTGGATGGTCGACTACTTGGCGTAGAAGGCCGACACGCTAACTCCACTTGTTACCCGAATGTCGTGGTACGAGCCGCCTCCAAGCCAACGCAAGCACATGTGCAGCTTGTTAACGGGGCTTATCGGCTCAACACCAGTCCTGTTGCGAGACTGTTTTTCGTCAACACGTAGATATGGATCCAACTTCGTAGCAAGCGCCATAAATGACTCATAAGACATCTTATAGCACTTCTGGAACTGACCCTCATCCACTAGTAGCCTTCCGTGTGCCTTCTAGTCTCGCCGGACGCGGTGTCGACATTGGCGGCGCGATTCAGCAGCTAAAACAACGAGCGGCAAGAGCGCTAGCAGTAGCGTCAGAATTGCGCCTAGATCCCCCTCCATTTTGTTGCAAATTTTCTGGATTTCCCTCCGTTATTCAAAAAGTTACCTAATGTCACCGAGGCAAAGTCACTTTTGGTGGCACGGGACTTATGCCATGCGTGGCATTTCCACCCTACCCCTTTAAATTCTTTGCCAATCATCTGGCTTTAATTTCTGCCATGGCATGGCATATTGCGTGGTTAAGAACGGCCCTGTGGGAGGAGACGTACTAAGAGTAATTACTGCTGTAGTATTATAAACTAGTAGTAGTATACTAAATGAACAGAGCAGTAGATAGCATTCATCAATCCCACGCGTTATTTATTTTTACTTAAGCACTTAAACTCAATAGCAACACGGCGCCAACATTCTCCTGTCCCTCAGCATGCGTACCTTTCTACTACTGCTCATGGCTACGTCCACCTTGGCACCGGTTCCGAACGTGTATCTCCGTCTTACGCGGAACTTCCAGCTGGAGCAGCGCCACGCTGATCCACAACTCAGCCTTCCTGACCTCGGGAGTCGCATCCTCCACCTCCATGATCTCCATCTTGGCCTCTTCCGCCTAAACCATCTACTCTTTAATCGCGTCGGTCTCCGTCGCAGCCACGATCACGATCTGTGCGGGCAGCTCAGCAATACTTGCGAGGTGCAGACGCGCAGTAAAAGCAGCGACATCACCTGCATCAAACCCGTTTCGCTCACTTAGACCATCGTGTGCAGCCCCACGGCCAGGTCCAGGTGGCGACACCGCCACGAGATATCCGGCTGACGCAACACATCCAACCGCTCCACCGCGTTCCATACGCCACCACGAATACACCCGAACAACCCCACCGTGCTGCAGATCCGTAATCCGGACCATCAGCGTCATATCTCACTCGCCACGCTACTGCCAGCACACCTGCACGTTGGCCCTCACGCATGTCGAACATCGGCCCGCTCAATGGCGCGTCCGTGAGTTTCCGCGTCCACGGACCAGAACGCCGACCACACGGCAGCGCTGTCAAACAACGCGCCGTCCACGTCCAGCTCGACCATCGCCAGCAGTGCCTTCCTCACCTTCCCGGTTCTCCACATCATCCACCCGCTGCCGCCGCCCCGCTGTTACCGTTGCTGCTGTGTCCGCCACCCGCACGCCGCCCTTTCGCGGACGTCGCCACCCTTGCTCACAACCTCATTCACTCTGCTCCCTCCACTCTAGCTCGCCGCCGTCGCCACCATTGCCGCCACTCCACTCGCTCGCCGTCCGAACGATCTCTCCCTCTTTTTGCTTTTTTTTAACTAAACAAGTTCAATTTAAAAAAAATAATATGCATTAATTTTTTTAAATTGCATTTTTTTTAAAACAAGTACATGTAGTATTTTTGTTTAAGCCACGTTTTATGTTACGGTCGGAGGTCGTCGGAGGTCGGTGATTTTATGTTATGGTACTGTATAATGTCCACTACATTCCAACCGTTACCTGTCTATGCAGCCACATACTAACACCATTTTCCGTATTTCAACCAATCCTCGTTAACAAAACGCTTATTTTACACCAATGGAAGAAGCATCTGGATAGGAGCAGGTTTCCAACCATTCTGACCATATTTAGTTGTAATCTTTGAATAATATTGTCTATCGGATACTGACTTTCATATAAAGTCATATTCTAAGAATATCCTGAAGTTTCTGACGGTAGCCAGCAGTAGGGGTTTCTGTACAGAATAAAATTGCGGCGTATCAGTCATGTCGATAGCATCCTTGGCCCCTGGTAACAGCAAGAAGGTGCGAACGACAGCGTTAAACTCCTTCATCACGTTTCTGGGTGCCGAAAGCATGACACTTTCAGCCGCGCACAAGCTCATCGATGCTGATAAGACGGGTAAAGTGCTTCGTATTATGCTAGACAAGTATGCATATTCACTAGCAAGGTCTCAGGACAAAATTTTAGCTACGAATACATGTCTTGCATATTATGGAAACGTAAAAAAAATTGGCTGGCAGATAAATACCCGCTACAGAGCGGGTTAGTAAAGCCCCAGCTACAAAAGATTTTATCGGGACTCGGAAGGTACTGCACAAATCGAGAAGAAAGTGGTAACGAACGAGTTGCTCCCCCGTGCTCAAAGCAAGATTTAGAAGCAATTGTGCGAATTCTATACACAACGGCATCAAATGAGAGCGAATATCTTGATTCTGCTCTCGTTGTTATGATGTGGTACTTGTACGGTCGTAGTTCGGACGCAGAACAAGTCGAGAAACAGCAACTGTCCATCCTCCCGGGTACGCATTAATTGGTCGGACAAACAATTTCACGCTCTAACTAGATTTTAATAATGTAGGCGGTGTTTTATTCCTTCGCTTTAAGCGCGTGAAAACAGCAGTACTCCAGGGCATGTCCTTGTTCAAAGATCCCAACAATTTTCTAACATGCCCTCTCAACGCTATAGCTGTAGCGCTGGTGATGCAGAACTCTCCATGCAAACGAATGTTTCCTCAGTTTCTTAAAAAGAAGCGAAGCTCCACGAGCGCTCAAGATCTGGAGGAATTGTCCCTCGTAGAGCTTCTAGAGACAGAGGACGACCACACTTCTATGCCAGAATCGTCGAACTCAGCAGCCGCGTCACTGCCTGGAGCCCAATCCTACGTTAACAGGCTGCTGGTGAGGGCTAGAGACAATGCCAAGCTTCATAATGTCCGGCTCACCCCTGGCCTCACTTCTCACTCGTTTTGTCGCGGTGGGGCTATGCACGCAAATGACGGGACCGTTGCCGAAAACTGGATCATCGAACGTGGAGGCTGGCAGCTCGACCGTGTGAACAAAGCGTTTGGCTATATGCTTGGGACGACACAAGCGGATCAGCGGGTATCTCGAGTCTTGAGCGGGTGGAAACCAAAGGATGGGGCTCGTTTGCCTTCACTTGCAGCACTTGACACACCGGTCCTTCGTCGGGCACTCAAACTCCAGGCGCTGATATTCTCGAACACTCTGGGTTTTGCTGACGAAGCCCTCAGCCTTGACGAAGACGTAGCCGAAGTCCTGACTGCCACACTTATCTTGCACTACCCTGATATGCTGCGCCTCTGTGAACGCAGCCCATACGTCACGAAGATGCGAGAGGCAATGACTGCTCGCTCCGTCACCGAATCCGAGCTGCTAGCGTGGAGTATCACCGTCCGCCGTGCCTTCATACCACCTCTTGAGCCGAAACCGGCACCACCTGATAGAGAAGATCGTCTTGTTTATCTGTTGGAGCTGGTTCAGCACCAAACCAAGCAGATCGACGTGCTCATTCTGCAAAACAAACATCTGGAACAGCGCTTGGTAGCAGTGGAAGGCCAGCTCCGCTTGACAGCCAGCACGACAACGCAAGCAGCAACCACGGTCGACCCATCTTCCGCAACAACACCTCCACAACCACCACAGCCTGAAGTCAAAGCAGCTCGATCGAAAAAAAAGGGAGCACAGCTGCTGGCAGCCACGTGGTTCGCTTGGTTTACGGCGGAGCCTCGTGTATATGCCGCGCGATCTGTAAAAAAGGCAACGCTGTACGAGTTTAGACACACCGCAGGGTACATGATGCTTTTCTTACCGACTGGATTCGCACTGGATGCAGCGTCTCCAGCGTTCAAGAGCGAGGTGCTGGCCCTGGGTGAGAAGGCGCATAAAAATGCGCTAGCATTCTTAAAAGAAAATGGGTCCTCAGCAGCTGCATCCGGTACGGCGCTGAAAGCTTTTCGTAAGCTTCATAAGGCCGGGAAGCTCGACGAGCATCTAGCCCAGTTAGTTCCATGACCGTGTTGAGCGCGGTGACGTGGTTGACCCTACTCCAACTGCTGCCTTACCAGAATTTATTCGCTTGAAGCGCCTTAATTGTTAGTCTGTACAATAAAAACAAAAGAATATCACCCACAACCACGGACTACACAGCACTGATAGTAAACATCCGATAGACTTGAATTCATTTGGCGCACTAAAACATTCACAATATATTACAGCATAGCTACAAGAACAAGTTAGATGACACATACCGGCTCAATTAATGATCTAGAACACACTTACCATATCTACGAGTAGTATAGAGCCCGAGGGAAACCGCTAGTACCACCGTTCTGTGATAATACACCTCCGGCAGCATACCGCCCGCCCTACCGGGTCATTTTACATCACAGCAACGGACTTGGGAAGCGGCAAGAGTGGGAGCGGCAGGCGGCGTCTCTTGGTCAGCCGTGCGGTGCGCTCGGGGGGTCGAAGGAGGGCTTGTCGCCGCAGTACAGCCGGCGTTCCGCGCGCCATCATCTGTGCCATCGTGGTGGCGATTGTGTTTGGAGAATGCCTGTGTGGCCTGAGAAGGCAGGGATTTTTTATTTTGAATCACGGCTAAGTTCGATTTTATTTCAGACGTTTATACCGGTACCGGTTGGAATCCCGGTCGGACGGTTGGAATTTTTACGGTATGGTGCTTAGGTCGGATCACAGAATTATGAAAATTTAACTTCCCGCTATTAAAAAGCTGCTCGTTCATACTTCAAACGTAATTGGCGAGATCTGTCCAAAACCCGTTGCAGTTGATAAACCTTCTATAATAAGAAATCTTAGATTTGTGACGTCACTAAAGCGCGAACGCACGATTAATTTCGAAGTACGACTAATTAAAGTGAACGGTGTACAGTTCTTCAAATGTGAGATCCTTTTGTTAAAAATCGGACAAAAAACGACACGTCGGCAAACAAGAACGGGTGGCACTTACTATTAGAACAAAAACAACTTTTGCGTTTTTAATCAGCTATAGGCGTTTGTTCAAAGGTGTTTCCATGCAGTAGACCAGGTGCACTAACTGACGCAGTTAAGCATAATTAGGCGCACTAGATGGAAAGTGAGAGCCCCGAACGCTTTATATAGAAATTGGCTCGAAAACGCACCTTGACTCTCTTTCTTAGACTTTCCTGGCAGCATTAAAGTAACTAGAAAGCTACTACGTTGATAGTACGCTACGACTAGAGCGTGGCTAGTTCTCATACCAAAACCTGGTTTTGGCGGAGTAGCCGCAACTTACAACTTGAGCCAAGCCTACCACTGCATTTAAGTGGATAAAATACTGAATAAGGTTGATGAGAGGGTGGAGCATGAATGGAGGTAGATACCTGTACTCTATCGCATTTAACCAATCGTAGGGCGCAACCAACAGACATTACAAGCAGTAGGCACTTGTTATTTTCCAATTTTTGTGGGTAGAATACTCCTCCGAACCGAACGAGTCCGGGTTTCCGAGCCAACTATTAAATGAAGAACATGGTGCGCTCACTCTTATTTTAGTGCACCGATTTACATTAAATGCATCGACTGACAATTCTAACTTTAAAAGAGCACTGCATGTTAACACCTTTGAACGAACGTCTTTTGCCAATTAAAACGCAAATATGCGCCTTCGTTCTTATACTTCCCCAAAGGCGTTTTCTTCTGCAGCTTCGTCAGCTCGGCTTTGAATGGCGACCACCACTGGCTCCAGCCATTTTCTGTTTTGGTTTTTTACATTTGAATTTTTTTTAGCAGTGTTTTTTTATTGTAGCCACCTCCTATTTAGACGCTAAATCGACCAGCATTTAAATCCGTCTTATTAGGCTAAGCACACCATCGTGTGTATTTTGCTGCGACCACGCGCATATTAGGGGCCGATCAGGCTAGAGCTTATAGATTTATATGTAATTCGACCAGAAGGAGGTAGCAGACGGCATACTGACTCAGTACTACTGTGGGATTAAACATATTAATCGACCGCCATTTGGTTATGGCAAATCGCGTAAATCTATTATCTTAAATAAATGTTTAATTTTTTTTTGAATTATTACATTTACAAAGAAAATAACCGAAACGTTTATAAATGGAATCTTTGAATTCATAAAGGGGTACCCATTTTCAATGAAAACTGCTAATCCGACTTCTTAGGGATCACCGTCTGGCTATAAATACCTTTAAATAAAAAATTATGTTAATCAGGGCTCAGTATCTATGTGTACACGGATGTACAGGCGTTAAAGCGTCACACCGTACATGT